AAGGTAAGCTTCCATCTGAGACTAGGAGAGCTGCAGAGACTGTAGGTCAGGTTCCTGCAAATCAAGCATTTGATGTTGCTGTTAATTTGAGGATAGTTCCGAGGTTCAACGAAAAGGACCCAGACAATTTCTTTGTGTTATTTGAACATCTAGCAGAGGCACGAAACTGGTCTGATGTTGAGCGCACCCTTCTCCTTCAGTGTGTCTTCACTGAAAAGGCCCGGGAGGCTTTCGCTGCCTTGACTGCTGAAGACAGTAGCAATTACCAGTTGGTTAAAGCTGCTGTACTTCGGGCATTTGAGTTAGTACCTGAAGCATATCGACAGCGTTTTAGGTTACTCAGAAAAGAGAAGCAGTCACACATGGAGTTTGCTCGTGATTTAACCACTAGTTTCAACCGTTGGTGTGTTTCTTCACAAGTAAAAACTCTGGAAGATCTGCAGGAGCTTATCTTGCTTGAGCAATTCAAAAGTACCTTGCCTGACCGTGTTGTTACCTACATTAATGAGCAGAAAGTAAACAGAGTTTCAGAGGCAGCCAAGCTGGCAGATGAGTTTACTCTGACCCATAAAGTGTTTTTTGGCGACAGTCGTGGTCGTGGAGATGTGGGATACAAAGAGAGTAGTGCGGGGGCTCACTTCAGTAAAGGTGTTTCAGAAGGAAAAGATAAGTTTCCAGTTAGGATTGACCGTGGGAATCGGTAAGTTTGACCCCAATCTTATCTGTAATTACTGTTTTAATAAAGGACACAGGAGAAATGATTGTCCTGAGTGGAAGAGAAAGTCCAGGCCTGCGTCTGGGGCTGTGGCATCGTTACGTGCAGTGGAAAGGGAAAGTGTCATTGCGGCTGTGCGGAAACACACTCAGTCCTCTTTATCTGAATCGGTAATTCAGGCTCCTGTCAGTGAGCATGAGGAGATAGACCCTGGGTATAAAGCTTTTGTTTCTGATGGTTTTGTTTCACTTGTCGGAAGTAAAGAGAAGGTACCGGCAAAGATATTAAGGGACTCAGGGGCGTTGGACTCGTTTATTGTTGGTTCTGTGTTACCTTTCTCTCCTAAGACAGACACCGGTTCCAGTGTTGAGGTCCAGGGGATGGGATTAACCGTCTTCTCTGCTCCACAGCATAAACTGACATTAGTCTCAGTCTGCTGCAAGGGGATGTGGTCATGGGAGTGCGTCCTTCTCTGCCTATGGGGGGCATACAGATCATCTTGGGAAATGACCTGGCTGGTGATCAGGTATGGCCTGGGTCTCCAATCTCCCAGGTAGAAGGTGCAAAGTTCCCCAAAACCCCTTCTGTGATGCCTGCCACCGGCGCAGTAACATGTGCTGCAAGCCCTAATGTTTGTGACTTCTCTCTTAAAAATACAGATAAGAAAAAGAGAAGTGGCCATGAATTGAAATTAGGATTTTATTAGTAGACATTTCCCCCCCTTTCATTATTCTACCAAGCTGTCCACAGACTGGATATGACCCACACCTCAAAAGTAAAACATCTGGTACAACGTTCTCAACAAAAACAGTTTAAATACTATAAAAATAAATCAATTGCACAAAATGATATATGCCATTTGTGATTACCTCTGTGCAGCACTTGTACACACATAACATCGACAACAACCCCGTGATACAGTGCAGGAGGAGAAACTACACAGAAGGCATTCATGTAGAAAGAACCGACACAAAGCGACATGGAGCGCGTTTAATGACACAGTAATAATGTGAGGGGTAGACGCTGAATCAGCACTTTCCAACAATGGTTTGTTCCTGTTTGGGTTCATTTAGCATTCGACCAGTTCTACTAATGTAGTGTTTGTGGGATTCATTTTTAATGAGTAGCTAAGCGTGAAGCCGGTGATTGATTTTACATTGGAATTATGTTTTAGGAGAAAGAGAAAAAACGACATCATTATTTCCTAGAACCGCAAACATCATAAATAATAAACATAAATACAATCAAACGAAAACAAGGGAATGAAAAAGGGAGTTGCTAAGCATGACATAGAAATCAAATAAAACAATTAAACACAAATTAAAAGATTAATTGGTCCAAGATGTGTGTAATTCCTTCCAAATATTCGGAGTATATTGAGATAATGTGTGTGTGTGTTACGAGGAATGTAAAGCTACAGTACAATAACAGAGGACACAGATTCATGTTGAGGTGCAACACTTGCATAGAGTTGGTGAAATAGAACTGATGGAATGTGATATTTAAAATAGCAGGAAACAAAACGCATCGAATGGTGATTTAAAATGAACATTGCTAAAGGAATAGATGTATTACACTACTGCCATCGTTGTTTAACGGAGTGCAAACTAGGGTGCAACGTTCCCTTTTTCAACAAAAGCTCTCTCACTAGTAGTTTTCTGTCACAATCTCACAAACAGGAAGTGTGTAGTGTGTGTTGCAGATAGCAGGAAGTAGAAGGTTCTTTATATATAAATCACATATGAATTTAAATGAGCTTGCCTCACAACCTTAGACTGTATCTGCCCGAGCAAACCGACACGTAAAGGGATTTATTATGACTGTGCAGAGCATGACTCATCAAGTTTCTGTGTGTCTCTTTCCCTTATAATGTGCTTAAGTTCACTAGAGTACTTTTTGCTTCAATTTGAAAAAGTTTGGGAGCGTATGACTTGCCGATGATATCTAACAAGTTTATTTTTTGCTACAATCAGAATCGGACATTTTACACACAGCAAAGACGGAACATTAAACGACAGATCTGCCCCTTTTGTGTGGGAGGAACACACACGATTATACATATGTTTCTTTTAGTGACATTTTAACTCTTACATCCAATTCAACTGCACAGCAGATTATTACACTGACACGAGTAACGCTTCCTTTTTTAATCATGCTAAAGTGAGTGCCAATAATAAGGTCAATCTTGAGGTTTCATAATTGCCATCGTTCACACAAGTGCCCTCTCCTGTAGTTAATATGGCTTTACGTGTCTGTACATATTTATACAATAATTGATGCATGTACTTATATTCTCTCCACACAGGTGGTGGTTGTGTCAAATCTGGGAGTTGTATATACAGTTATAAATGACAAACTCATGTGGAAAGCAGAATTGTGCCTAAAGAGAACTTTCAACATTTCCTCCGCCTTTGAAGAGATGTACGAAGCAGAGGATGACAGCTCAGCTACGACTCAGCAGCTAGCCGTGCTGCATCAGAACATTCCGTTAAGTGTTTCCTCATTTCTTTCGTTAACGTCAATCGTACTTTACAATTATACTGCAAGAGAAAGCTACGTTTACAGACAAACAGAAGCCAAGTGCAGACAGGGGTTCAAAGGTCAATTAATGTGTTGCTGTGCAGGAGAACGTCACATGGTGTGTGGTTCCTCTCCTGGTCCCCTCCCGGCATCACATTCCCCTCTGCTGTCGAGGAAGCATCTGCTCTCTAGTAGTCTGTCTGGATTCATTTCAGCACATAAACCTTTAGCAGAAGGTTAATGTGAGGTGGACAGTGTTTCAGGGACATTACACACAGACAGTAATGAGCTCCTTTCACCAACATTTAAAATAGTCTTCCTTACAGGGTACAATGTCACCTATATTTATTTTCAAAGTATGTAAAGAAAGAGGCCATCACTGTGACTTATGTTTTACTTCATGATTTAACTCCATAACAACACGTGTGACAGTCAGGTGGGGGGGGGTGCTTTCTCAGAGTGTGTGAAGTAAAAGTGTTAAACATTCAGATGAACCGTTGATTTCACCAGCTCGCTGCCATCCCTCAGTAAGAAAATGTGCTGGTCGCTATGTGACAAAATCACCAAAAATGAGAATAAGCAGAGATTTAAAAAGAAAAAAAGAGCTGAAGACTCAGAGGGCGTGAAGCAGGCTGCTGAGAGACGTGGATGAGTTTCAATCTCCTCTGTCGCTCTCAGTTTAAAGAGGATGGAGGCAGTGAGATGAAGATGGGAAGGTGGATTTCTTTTTTGTACATTTCTCTCCATTTCACGACATTGCATGTTATACAGGAGGATGATGGAGGCTGGAGGACTATCAGTAGATGTCGGGCAGGTCTTGGTAGTTTCTATTGAAGTATCCCCCGGTGTAGAGCCAGGCCGGAGCGTTGGTGTACGGGTTGGTGCCCATCTGGAACCACCTGGGACACACACAAGCACACCTTTTGAAATGATTCAGGATACATTTCTTCACCTAAACGTCACACACTTCAAGTTGGACCGTCACACTCAGATATCCAATCGACCTCTGACACATGCTAAACTAGTTATAAATGTGTTTATTCTTTACTGGGGGGTCATTACTTGATCAGTGAGCTGCATGAGACAGAAGCAGACGGTCTGTCAGGAGAGGGAGAGAAAAAGAGAGCGCTCCGTTTATTATTCCTGTGTTATTATCCAAAGTTACTGCACACTGTTTTCTGTTTGTACAAGCGCATGAATCTGAACCTTTTGATCAGTTATAATTACCACCTGAAGCAATTTAACAATTAACCTCATTAACTGAGTTTTAAATCATTTGTCATTTACATATTTAATGTCTCAAGTGATGACGCTATTGTGATTGGCGGTTCTGGGGGTAATGGAATGTTGGTGGTTCTGGTGTTAAGCCATCCTCTCTGTGTCACTGGGTACAGTTTCAGTGAAATGTAGCTGCAGTTACTTAAATGTATTATTTATTGTTAAAATCTTTTCATTTTCATGTTTATTTAATGCAACTTTGTGTGCAAATCTAGACTAAAAAGAGATGTATGAAGTACCTAAACTGATATATGTTGTTCAGCTTTTCCTAATACTTGGAGGGGTTAAATGCAAATCTGAATTTCACTGTGTGTGCTGCTGACATGTTGGACGATAAAAAGAGGATTACAAATCTTCCACTTCCAAATGTGAAATTCCGAATGCTCAACTTAAACAAAGAAATACATGTAGAAATCTTGTCCATCACTACTTTTTTAATAAAACTATGAACTCATCTTTCTTTTCATCACATTATGTTAATTCAGTTTTTGAAGCTCTTGACAGATGATGGTCATGTTGGCGTCTTGTTTGCACGGTGGCCAGTTTGATCTAATGTAGAACAACAGAGCTAACAACAACACAGTTCTGCTCTGTTTGTAGTATCTGTGTGTATAAGTGCACTCTGCTGAGAGTGTGTTTCCCACCTGGTGTTCCACTCCTCCTCGTCCTTGGCTCTGTCCTTCCTGGACGCTCTCTGTTTCTCCTCCAGACGCTCCTTCTCCCTACTGGCCTCCTCTGCAAGTAACACACAAACAAAACATCTGTATTTATACAGTTTAGCTCAGTATAATACACTCGTAACTCCAAGGCAGTAGTGTTGAACTCTCTTAGTCTGCAGCCACACGAGGACGATAACGGTCGTATCTGCTACAGTTCTCTATCAGATAGACGGTTCGGCCTAACGAGGCCGACATGGAAACGCAGAAAACGATAACGGGTCCCAAGGTGGGTAGATCTGCGGACGAAACGCTCGGGGGGCCAAACGGCTCCGTGTCTACGCCATATAATGATCATTTCCTGATAACGATGACGCAATATTTTACTGTATAGTGTCTTTATTGTAAGGTAATTATTATATGTACAGCACACTGGCTCGACCAAAAATCGTTTTAAAAATGTGCTATATAAATAAAACTTGATTTGAATAGCCCCAGTGTTTGTATCTCGCAGGACAGTGCACCCAGCAGGAGCTTCCAGCTAGATTTGATCGATATGGACATAAATGTGAGTGAAGTCTAATCGGACAGGAGAGGAGACACGCAGCTCTGCATGATCACCTGCAGCTCCGCCCGCTGTGATGGAGCAATGACCGGAACAAAACACACACTTCAAGTCTGATCATCACCCTTAGCTATTTTAATTACCTCTCAAACTACCTAAACTAGTTATAAATATGTTTATTTTTACTGTCGGCAGTGTCAGGTCACTCATTACTGGATCATCCAGCTGCATGAGACCACGGACTAGGGGTGGGCGATACCACAAAATCTGGATTCGATCCGATACCAAGTATTTCAGGGACAGTTATCGCAGATACCGATACTTTTTTAAATGAAAAGCGTCTTATGTACTTTCATATAGGGGAGAGCTGCATGACATGATTTTTGAGCTGAAAGCATAATAAATAGACTAAATCTGAATTCATTTTCATGAATAAAGACAGGACTAGTTTTTTTATAGACAAATACACTTTTTACTTTTGACAAATTTAAAGTGCAAACATGAAAAATAACATTACAAAGTGGCCAGAGTAGCGAACTGTCTTCTTGCACACATCACAGTTCGCTAAGTTTTAATTGCCATTTGTGAAATAGCTCCACACAACGCTCCTCTTTCTCTCAGCCATCATGCGCGTGTGTGTATGGAGCTAATTTCCTGCGATAACTCCACAAA